AAGTCAGTAAGTAGTTTTTGAGAAAACCACGGGGACATTCTAACCAGTTGGCACCCTGTATAGCTTATACCTTTGGAAAGCAGGTACTGTTTTAAGGAAAGTCGTTCTACCCACCCCGACACCATAATAAATAAAATGAATGGCAATCATGTTCTCCGATTCCGTGCTTTTCCCGAACTGTGTTACATTTCAATCATTATCTGGCATCTGTCTCGGATCAGGACGGCTTCTTTTCATGCGGCATCTCGCATTGGATTCGGCACAGGATTGAAGTTCTTTTAAAAAAAGGATAAAAGAGAAAAAACAATAAAAATATCTTGAGAAAATCACAGCCCTGCTCTTTTGGATATTTTTAAAGGTAGATTAAGACTTAATTTTGTGAATTGTCTAAGTAAAACACCAGGCTCAGAAAATAGTGTAATATAACTTTGACTTGAACTGACTGTCACATAAGTATATTTTAAAGTCGGGCTCTACCTAATTTTTAAAAATTACAAACATATACTGAAAAAAAATAATGTTTTGATTGTTCGAAGAAAGCAAGCACAAAGGACTGTTCTATGTGCTGATAATAATCAATAGATCGATGAAAAAATTAACATGTGTTAAAAAAATACGAAACTGTTGCAAGAGAATTTTAAAAATTGCCACATGATCTACAATTTAAGCGACTACTTGCTACTTTTCGTGGGATGCAGTTTGAAGTAGGTCTATTGGAATACCAGTCAATGCGTATCCAATTTAAAAAAAAAAATTTGTCATGTTCAGAAGGAAATGAAGGTTGGCGAGAGAGAAAAAGGGTTATTTACATTATAACAATTTGACCCATTTTCACATTTCGTACGTTGAAACGCCAATGTTTACCTTTATCGAAAACGTTTCAGCAAGCTCGTTCAACAAAACGTCAATTTTAAAGCCTTCTTTTTTTGATTTGATAATGGTTCTTGGGGTTGACATTTTATTTTGAAAACAACGGCTAAAATTAAATCACGAATTTACATGGAAAAAGGGGGTCGAATAATAAACACTATCTCTAGTAAATTTAATGTGTGTAATCACGGGCACGAAGGTTCGCCAATTATCGTGTCGTTATCTAGTTTCGTGACGTAAACATGTGATGAAACTATGAAGTGTGCTGAATTAATTCGCAACTCAATTACCATGGATAATAAATATTTGTTTAAAACAAGCGTGAGAGGATTCGCAGTCCGGCTTTTTTTAACCTGGTCAAGACGGATTGTGTAATTATTTATCGCTTATCTTGGTTTTACAACAAAGTTTAAATTTAAGTACTATCACCCTGTTTTTGATGGAGATTTAAACATTTAAATAAACAAAATACTGTCCGGGCATAACTTAAAAAGAATCAAGACGGACATTTGTTTGTTTTAAACAACTGCAAATTGAAATTGTCAAATTATTTCTAAAAACTAAACAACCTGAAAAACGCATTTTTTCATATGAATCTTCAATCTATTTATCTTCCTTTTATTTAAAAATCGAGAAAAATATTATCAAGTTTTTTAACTTAATCTAAAAAAAAGATAAATTAACCACAAGTTATAAATATACATAGGCAACTAATCGTATTATTTCTCTCTCATTTCAAAAACGTTTTCTTTCGAAAAAGTACAAATTTTTGATTTTTCCTTTGGAAATATTGCCATTTGGTTTTTAATTATTGATCAATCAACTACAAGAGATGAATGACATAGCCAGATAATCTTACTATTTTTTAGAAGAAGGCTAAAATTCAGGTGTTTATTTTTTGAAAAAAGAACTTCTAAACTTTCGTCCTATTTGGTTCGTCCGAAATTATTATAGCATTTTTTAAAGCACATAAACATAAAATTGATCAATAAATCTGATATGGTGAATTATATAGACAAATAATTGTATTATTCATTAGAAAATTGCCAAAATTGAGTAATTATTCTTTGGAAAAAAAGTTAACGTTACTCTACGTTGATTGTTTGTTCTGGTTTGTCCGAAATAATTGTTAAAGACAGTTTAATTTACTTACAAATACAATTACTGAACAATTAACGACAAGTGATAAATTACAAAGACAGTTAATAGTGTTATTTGTTGGGAAAACTGATAAAATCTCGTATTTATTATTTTCCAAAAGGGTGGTCGCAACGGTTTAGGCGTTGACACGGCGCTCATCATTGTAAGGTAAAGGTCCCGAGTTCGAATCCAGCGGCCCTGCATTCGAAACCGACATACTTACATATTACTTACAAATGGGCTTTTTTGAGGTTGATATCACCTCTGCTATTGCGAACCCAACGAAAAAAAAAATCATTGAGAAATCAACCACAAGTAAATATAGTTTGAATATTAACTTAATAATTGAAAAGTGCGAAAACAAGGTATTTATTATTTCCCAAAAAATATTAAATTTATTATAATGATTTTTATGTGCCATCCATTCGCTTTGTACCCAATCATTATTAATTGTTTTGAATTTTTTTTTTCAAATAAAATGACTGGCAAATCATTAGTTAAAGGTAAATTATTGTAACTAAATGATTATTAGACAAGTTGTTCCATTTGTTAGAAAACTGTTAAAATCAGCTGTTTATAAAAAAAACAAAACACGAAAGTGATTGGTTTTTTTTGTCGAAATTACTCTTCTGGGTTGGGATGTTGGACATTTTTGTAATTAAGAATTTTGGTTTGGTTAAAAATAAAATATTGAAACTATTATAAAGAAATCGTATTATTTGCTATAAAATACTAAAATCGGGTATTTAATATTTGGAAAAAAAGTTTTGAAGTTTTTTGACTGAATTTTTATTCCATTAGGATTAAATTTTCCATTCTTTAATTAGTTGCCATATCAAAACTGATGATGTAAAATGTTACATATAGCATATTATTTTTCATACACACGTATATTTGCCCTACATGACATCTATTTCTTAGCCACGAGTAATTTTCATTGTTATAAATAGATCGATGTTTAAGATTCGGAATTGTTTTTTCCACGTAAATGTTAACTCGCAATACAATAGAAACAAATTCGGAGCAATCAGAGAAAGAAATTTGTTTGAAAAATGAAAACTGAACCATAAGAAACAAAACTGTTTGGTGAATGAAAACTAGCAAAGATGATTTAGTGAACAATGAAAAACAGGAAAGAAAAAAAACTGTTGCACCAAAAGAAAAATTGTTGAATGTTGAAGACTTAGATTTCATTATAAACTTTATATGTANATATTGCTTATTTATGGTTTAAATAAAATTATAAATACTATATTAGGAATACTAGGTTAACTACCAAAAAGGGTAATAGTTTTTCTTTAATTGAACTTTTTATTGAAATGGGATTTTATACGCTGAGATAGCAAATATAATTAGATTGAGATTCAGTTTCAATTGTAATGAAATTGCTGTAGTATTTTATAAAAATTGGTTGTTTACAGAAGCGGGTTATCTCTGTGACTTCATAAAGTAAACCCTTGGCGTCGGAGAATATCCTGGGGAGGAAAACAGATCAATGAATTTCCCTTATTCGATTGCTCATTTGGTTCGTGGCCTTTCTTCAAAATACCTCTATTTACACATAGGGACGACTATTTGTATTGATTCGAAGGAAATTGGTTATTTTGTTTTACTAGATAGAAAAAAAAACCCAGATGAGTAGAAATAGCACGCTATCATTTGGCCTCCTTTTTCCTTCGTTGTATATCGTTTCATCATTGTTTTTTGTAATAGATAATGGCACATTTTGAACATTTATTCAACCACAAGAACCAACATAATGAAGGCAAAGTGCGATAAAACAGTACGATTTATATTTATATACAAATAAAATAGGAATATACAAAACAAAAACTGCATGCGCTTCAAAATAAATCGTATACATTCAATTCTCTAGTTTTGGACAATTGAACATAGCTAAATATTTTCTATTACTGCTAAAAACTATATCCCTTGATTGGTATAGTGAAGGATACTTCTGGTCCAATGTGAATTGAACTTTTGAATCAAATTTACTTATATCGAATGAAAGTATATTATTCGTTTCAAATGAAGAATTGAAGAAAATAATATATTTGAAATGATGGTGATAAACAAATAGGTTTTTGGACACAAAGCCGTGAATTAAAGTGAGCTAGTTTAGCTTAGGGCTATCTATGGGACATCGGCAAGTAAGTAGGAAATTATTGTGATTAATTTTATAACCAAATCAGAAAAAAATTGGAGTTTAAAATTTGATTAACTTCTAGTTTTTATTAAAGACTAAACTGGAGGGTTAAATTAATTTTTAAAGGGTTGTTTAATTAAATGTTTTTGTATATTGAGGGAAGTCTCAATTTGGAAATAAATGCGTTTAGACAAGGCAAAAATGTAATTATTGATTTTTTCCTTGAGAAATCTAATCCAAGTTTTTCTTTAATCATTTAGGTTTTTAAATTTGAAATATAATTTTTTTTCTGAGTAAGTTTTAAGTTGTTATGTTAGGCTTGTTTTAAGAAGGGATTGGATGAGATTTCTCGGCGGTTCCGATTGAGAGTTCCCTTTGATAACCAAAACAAGAGAGAAAAAGAGAGATTGATAGTATTGGGGTTGGTTGGAGATTACCTGTTGTCAGACTAATCTCCATAGCTCTCTGCCGGTGACCCAGTACTTTAAACTGGGGCAGTGAGACTTCATTGGAGACGCCAACCGAGTTAGGGCCCTCGTTCCACTTATAGCGGATGTCTCGCATTGTATACCCAACTAGAGGACAAGCAATACAATATCCATTCCATAGGCCTCTCGCCATGCCCCACCTACAGCCCTTAGTCCACACTCAGCACACGCGCGCACAAGCACACTCTCACGCACACAATGGGAAGAGCCAAGGAGGGATCGGATCGGGCCGGGCGGACTCGGGTTCAGAGAGAGACAGAAAGAGAGAAAGAGAGGGAGAAGAGAGAAGAGAGAAGAGAACAAATGACATGCATTGGATGAGGTCACCTGGACCCAAGGTAGATGAGAACTAGTACCTGTGGACAGGTTTATTTCGGTAGCCCTCTGTCTGTGCCCAAGGACCCTGAATTGTGGTAACTGCACTTCGTTGGCAATACCCACTGATTTTGGGCCCGCGTTCCATTTGTACCGAATATCACGCATAGTGTAGCCAACTGCACTTGACAGACAAGACAACAACAAAATAGTAGACATTTAAAGTCCACGAATTTTTTTTTACGTATTGTGGTTGTTCTCCTTTGTACTTAAAGAGAGCCAATAATGGTATGATGCATTGAACAGAGCATAACATGTTATTTATGTTTCTTTACATTTTGACTTGTTAAAATTAAATAAACAAAAAATTAACAGGCACAATCGAATGTCTATTTTAGAAACTTTATATGAGCGATATTTTTTCAAACAAATACACCTAAAGATAGACTTAAATATTATAGACTTATAGACAATATCTCATTTGATTGTTTGTTTTTTTAAAAGATTCATAACACCTTATGCTCCGGTCCAATTTTCGTGAAAATTAAAAATGGGGTAAAGATAACAATGTTCAAATCAATATATGTACAGGTTATAAAATTGACATACTTTTACTTTTCCATTTATATTAATTATGCTCTCAAAAAACACCATGCAATTTATCGGAAGTAAGTGTTTTCAACAAAAATATCAATCGTATATCAAGAGGTTTATAACAAGGCATGAAACATTTACGTGGGGACGAGTACATGAAGACATGCTGTAAGCCAGTGTTTCAAGGCTATATACATTTTTTATGTATTTATCATTAAAAAAAAATCGTCAATTTTTTAAATTGTCATAGCCAAATTATATGGTAAGCGGGGTTTATTCACAAAAATAATAAAAAAAGAGAGGTTTTTTTTATTCAAACCTGTACATTAAGTGATAGCGTCGTGCAAAAATCAAAAATTCAACTCAACAAATAAGCGGGTGGTTCAACTCAAAAGAAGAAAAAACAAACCCAAACGGTTGTCAGTGTTTCTTTGGTGTGTTTTCTTCGTGACAATAGGGAAAAAAAAACAATCCATTGGCAAGTCGTGGCTTGTTTTGCGGATTTGAGAACGGCCTGTAGCGAGCTGTGGACTTGTGATTGCTGAGGTCCGCTCTCTTTGCTTGTACGGACACGGGCCAACAGTTATAAATCATATAGAAATATAGAAGATAGAGAAAGTGTTAGAGACAGACAGTGATATAAGAACTGGCCGTTATGTCTGCCGACTCTTCCTTGGGCACGACTCTCGGTGCTGTAGCAAGGAAGAGAAACAGAAAGGACGGCTCTGGGTACAGACAGACAGACAGACAGAGAGATAGAGAGATAGAGAGATTTTTATCATAAGACACACACACGCGCGCAAACACACAACAACTTCTTCCTTCTTCTTTTAGCTGTACCGCGCTCTCTCTTTCCTTGATATTTTCATTTTCCAACATTTTTTTTATTAATCAAATATTAATAATCAACGTTATTTCATAGAAAGCGTCGTCAGCTTCAAAACGAAATAAAAAGTGTTGACAAAAACCAAAGCTGTGATGGCCGTTTAGCGTGCGTTCAGCTTCTGCATTGGTCACTCAAATGCATTTCTCATTTTCAAAATAGTTTTGAAGCTTTATATACATAGAAGAAGAAGGGAGAAGTGATACAATACAGCATAACTTACTCTAGTAACATGTTTCAACATTAATATTAAAATGAAAATGTTTTTTATTCCATCCAAAAATAAATTCCCAAAGTAGGAACTATACGTTTATATTTATAACAAAGTCAAATCTAAGTAATAATATTAAGTTGATATGAATTATAGTATAATATGCAAGTAAATCAACATTTATCTGGAGGTTAGTGCTAAAAGCGTGGTTGTTTGGTTATTTTTGATACTCACAGCTTTCAATTTCGATATGGCATAGCTGTCTGTCCATTGGGAAATACTGAAGATTCATCGGGCACGAAGCGGTAATTGTTAACCTGGAAAATTTATAAATTTCAGATAAGAAATTTTAAAAAATGCTACTTTTTAATACATGTAGAAACCATAGAAAAATATTTATGTGTTGTATATTTAAGAATATATAGAACAGGGGTGGCCAAGCTCTTTGATAGACCGAGCCATTTTTCAAAATTTGAAATTTTTCACGAGCCGCAATTAAATACGTATTTAAAAGGTATGCAAAAAGGTATTAAATTTTTTTTTACAGAAATTATATTTATTGAAAAATATAAATAAAAGTACAAAATATGTGTATTGAATTTAAATATTATACTCTCACGCCGCGGTCGTGGGTTCGATTCCCACCAATCGCCTCTGGCCCTTTTTTCCCGATAACCCCCAATTTGAACAACATATATAAGAATTCGTCATGGCTAATATGCAAAGATCATAAGGCAAAAAAAAATTAAATATTAAAAATTAAACACATTTATTTTACTTCTCTTGATAATTCTTTAAAATTTGGTGAATAATTGGTGACAGCACTTCTCAGTAATTTTTTGAGATGCTGGTTAGTTAATGCTGATCGGTGTTTGGATTTCACGAATTTTAAAGTGGAATAAAATGATTCACATAAGTAAGTTGTTCCGAATAGTGAAATAATTCGACAAGCAGCCTTTTTTAATTCAGGATACTTTGATTCTGATACAAATTTTCAAAATTCAGTAATCGACGTCGACTTATATTTTAATTGTAGAGTTTGATCTTCTTGCATCTCTATTAATTATAATTCTCCAGATGCTTTTTGGATCATAATTATATTGGAAATGGAAAATTCACCTTGAATTATGTTAATTTCAAATGGATTCAGAAAAAAATCAAGAGACGATTTAAAATATTTCAAGTCTTGAAATCTATTTTGGAATCTGTTCGCTTCTCCTTGGGGAAAATTACCGTGGGAGCCGTACCGCAGACCATCGCAGTGAAATGGAAAAAACGATCAGATAGGATTAAATTGTACGTACTAAAAAGGAAGAATTTCAGTTTTAGCATTAGAACCTGGTGCCACTCGCGATCAAACGCCCATTAGCAAAAGTTCTAATTTTGGTCATTATTGTGTCTACACTAACACTTCATTAAAAAGACGAAGGATCCGGCAGGGCCAAAAAAAGGGAAACAGGAGAAGGAGCCAGCGAGTGGTCGTACTCTCTGCTATTATTATTTAGCACTAAGATAGGATAAGGTAGTCCTTTAATAGTTATGATAAGAGGTCACAAAGTCTTGGTTTATGAAGATGGGACATGAGAAGCTATGGCTAGTTCGTTAGGGTGGAGGAACTTAAACTGGAAATTATGGAAATGCGTTCAATGAGATCCTAGAATGGGTTGTTCAGATCTATTCGATTTAGCGCTGTAGGCCCTAGGATTGAAAGGATTTGTAGGAGTAGGATTTAACTGAATCCAACAGTTCGATTCCGGTCAAATTGGAGTGTTTCGTAAGGTTGATCCTTAGCCCCCTTCCTGTTTTCATTTTTCGATTTCGGAAACATACGACAAGAAATATGCGGGTTGGAATCGCAAGTTTTTTTTTATCAAGCTTTCGCTGAAGGAAGAAAACCCCAAAGTACAAATTTCTAGTTATCAAGGGGGTTGAATTGATTAAAACCAACATGACGGATCGGTCGTGCGGGTTTAACATAGCGAAGCGCCGTATTGGCGATTACTCAATATTTAATTTTTATTTATTTGTGCTTTGTTTACCATTTGTATGTATGTTTTTTTTATTTGGGCTAAATTTAATTCAGCGATATACGTATCCATTGTGGCCCAAGAATATAAAAAACAAAAATTAATTGCAAAAACACAGACTTTTGACAACCAAACGTATAATTGCTGAAGAAAACATCTGCTTTGAAATAGTTTTTTAAGTACTTCGGGTTTATATATTTATTCCTTACTCTTTGCCATGTTTATTTGCCTATCATGTTCAATGGAGATCAAATCAACTTATCGTAATGATTTTAAAAATTAGGAGTTTCAATAAAAATTTATTTCCATTGTTGTTTTCAAAATAACAACATGTCAGTATAATTTTGTTTTAATTACTTCTTTGGGGTAAAATACGTTTGCGTGGCCTAAATCCGAGTTGAATGGGGTTTTTGTTACAAAGTATGTTTATAACTTCTGCTGGGTACTCTTTGACAGGTATTGATCGTTGTTTTTTGTTGAAGAATTGTTCTACTGTTTACTTTAAACAACTTGCTTCATTTTAAACATTCTTTCTTGGTCTTTTGACATCCAGAGGACAAAAAGAAAAAGGGAAAAAGAAAAACGCTGACAGACGAGATAACAATTTCTTCAAGGAAATAGAGAAACGGCGAGGGGGAGAATGAATAGGTTAAAATTGTTGTCAAGGAGAAGATAAATCCACGAGAGAGCATTGTACCGATCTGTCCGCTTCCTCCGTGCTCCTTACGATTTATTGGGCGGTTTCCTCTACATATTTTGAATATAAAGCAAGCGCGCCACTCCGGGTAATATTTCTGTCGGCTTGGCACTTTATATATAGGTGTACAGAAAAGGGTTGGCTTTAATTTTGTCATAGCTCGCTTGTATTTCTTAGGCGGCTACCTTGGGGCGATAGCCAGAATAAATCTCGACCTTTTCCTGTTACGAAGGCACAGACTTCTTCTTCGGCCATGCCCGGGAGGTCGTGACAAACCCCGCTGTTCGACCTGAATACTAAACACTCTCCTATCTCTCTAATTAGCTCTGTTGGTCGCATCTCTTCTAGCTTTGAACAATTTACAATTAAAATGCATTGAGCCGGAACACTAACCGTAAACTTGTTGTTATCGGGAGGCAATTTATAATTTAATAACTTTTCTCCATAAAAGTGAATATTACCAATTATGTTAAATAACGGACACCGTCCCCGGGGCTCTAATAACCATCAAATTGCTGACAACTTAATAGATGCTACCCTACTTTCCTTCTTGGTATAACCCTACAAAATTAGGCACAAAAAAATCTTACTATAGCGGTATACTTATCTTTCCTAGAGTCGAGAAAAACCGATTAGTAACTGTATAAAAATTACACTGTAATGATTAAAAAAAACCAATAAATTTATTCCTTTGGAAATACAAAACCTGTAGAATTATCCTGAGTTATACCCGCCGAAGTGTTGAAAGCTTAAAAAAAAAAAAAATTCGCCCGCGGAAGCCGAATAAGACCCTCCCCTAAGCAATCACAGATTTTATTATAATCCTTAATGAGCGCACATACGCCGAGCGCCCTTTTCAAGGCTTGCGAATCGTCATTTCCATTCCTTACTCGTCTTATTCACGCTCGAAAAATGAAATCTGTGCAATGAGTTCTCTTTCAGAGACGATTTTGTGAAAGAAGAGCACAAAAAGGGCGTGGAGATGTGTCCGGGAATGCCTACCCTAGTATGTAATGAAAAGTCATGAAAGAACACGGGTAAAGTCGGATACATCGGAAATTCGAATATACCAAATTTATATGGTTGAATAATTGACTGAATGTTATTTTTTGAAAGTAAAATATGTGACGAGTAGAATATAACTCGAGATCTAGATGGCACCGGAGAAAAACAACTCTGGTTAGTGATAAAGTGTATTAAACTGTAGTAATCGTGTCAATGTGTATTATCAACTATATTTTATAGTCAAGAGTAATAAAGAACCTTAAGTACGAGCAATCTCTCTTTATGTTTGTGTAATAAAACCTTTTCTCGTTTTTCCTGACTTATTCCTTTCCTATATTTTTCTTGCTTTCTCTCACGTTTTCTCCATCACTTGATCATTTTATTTTTTGCTAGTTCTTGTTCCTCACACGTTCATCCGAAGTTTAGTCTTACTACTGAACTTTAATCTAATTTATAATGTGTGAGGAAATGAAAGAGTAAAAGAAAGAAAGAGAGAAAAAGGGAGAGAGAGAGAGAGAGAGAGAGAGAGAAAGAAAGAAAGAGAGAGAGAGAGAGAGAGAGAGAGAGAGAGAGAGAATGAATGAATGGTTTATTAACCTTGAAGCTTACATAGGACCATAGGGTCCTCTCTTACCGAAGTCAGGAAACTTGATGTTAACATTTTATTTCACTATTTTCGTGGTCCGCTTGACCAATTTCTACATGACAATTAATTAAGGTTTTTAGTTGAGATGAAAAAAAGTTAATGGCACGAGAGGGATTCGAACCCACGACCTTCGGCTAGATACGCCACTGCTCTACGACCTATCCGAGTGGATCGATGTCACGATAGCTCAGGTGGTAATTAAAAACCTTAATTAATTATCACGTTAACATTTTATTTTATTCAGCTCTAACAGATAATTATATCAATTTATCGTAATTTCTTAATTATAATTTTCATTTTTACAAGGTGTCTTTCTAATTATGGCTTAAATATAACAATGATAATTTAATGTACGCTAGTAATAAATAACAAATAAATAAATAATAAATAGTGTTAATAATTAAAATCTTAACACAATAGTACATAATTCAGTCTAGTATAGTAGTACAGTATAACACACACACACACACACACACACACACACACACATATATATATATATATATATATATATGGAGGATATTGTATTTACATTTTTATCTATTATTGTATTTTGTCAGAAACTCTTCTTTTAATATAGATTTCGCTTTTACATATGGTAGAAGTAGTAAATTGTACAGGTTGTTTTTATTATAATTATTGATTGCTTTTACTAGAAAAGATGTATTGAAGGTAGCAGTACTGATTTTAGGCAATATGAATTTATGTTTATCGTATCTAGTATTCTTGTCATAGGTAGGCTTATACAATTTAAAGTTATTTATCAGATTTGATGGTTTTTGTCTTTTTAATAATTTTATTAAGAACATCGAGAGTATTAGTGTACTTTTTTCTTTAATTTTTAAAATTTTTGCTTTGGCATTATATGGTGTGACATGATCAAAGTATTCGATATTATAAACATATCTTATACAAGCATTTTGTGCTNAGAGAGAGAGAGAG